CGACGATATAATAAAAAGTTATAATAAAAACGATGTTATAATAAAAAGATATAATAAAAACGATGATATACTAAAAAGTTATAATAAAAACGATGTTGTAATAAAACAATGTTATAATAAAATGTTATAAAAACAATGGTCATATTTTTTTTCATTCAACCTTTATTTCTACAGGTTAGTCCCACTGAGCCTCGAGGACTCATCTACAAGTGAGACCTGGTTTAACAAAGAGTGACGAGAACAGAGGACAATCATAAAAGATGCTACAAACAGAGAAGAACAAGTGAAAATAAACTGGTATTAAAAAATGTAACAAAAAGCAGCCAGGTTGTAAGATGGTGCAGAAAACTAAAAACAACTTTTAGAGCCTCCTGAGGTCCTGGGTCCTGTGGTCCTGTGGTCCTGTGGTCCTGTGGTCCTGGGTCCTGTGGTCCTGGGTCCTGAGTCATGGTCAGATCAGCGTTTCTCGTCCTACAGAAGGTCAGGGAGGAGTTCTTCTACATCTCCCTCAGACAATTAGGCCAACAGATCATGTGTTGTTTTGTGGGTCTCGTGGTGTGTTCTGGACTCGGCCCGGTTCCCTCCCCTCTCCGGTAGATTACCGGGCCTTTCTTCATTTCTCAGAAGCTTTTCTCCCAGGAGGCTTTGCTCGCAGGGCTTTGTTGTGACGAGGAGAAGCACCAGGAGCAGATTGTGTTGCAGCTCGTTCATCACCGCCACACATGCACACACACACGTGCACGCACACACACACACGCACACACGCCTCGCCCCTGTGGACTCTCAGCTCGGCTGTTTCCAGGACAGCAGCTGCCTCCACATGTCTCCTGGTCCACCTGAGCTGAACCTGGAGCTCCGTTCCTCTGGATGGAGAGCAGAAGAACAAACCTGGGCTGGACCTTCAGACAGATCTACAGACACAACGTGAAGACTTCACGTGTCGTTGTGAAGGTGTGATGCAACACGCTGGCTCGGCCTCTGGGGTTTTTATTTTAATTTATTTAAGAATCTTTCTAAAATGAAATAAATTCAGGTAACGGTGGTTTTAATCGTCAGGAGGTGATCGGATCATCTGACGTTCATCCTGGTCAGCGTTAGGAGTCAGTCCAGCTCAAGATGGCTGCCACAGCTACCAACCCTCATGAGCTGAAGGTTGGCCTGGTGGCAGTAGCTGAGAGTAGTCCTCAGCACAGACTCCAAGTATTCTTCTTGTACTTTTACTGTGTGTCCTGAGAGATGATGTATATTTGTACACAGTTCATGAAGTACAGAGACGTCTGAGACCATTTCATCTGACAGATTAAAGTATTTATTAGTTTAAATATTCACTGTAGCTTCAGAATAATTAATAATCCACTCACAGACCGTCACTGAATTATTCAGCGGTCTGGACATTTATTTTACTTTAATGAGCTCAAAAGAGTTTTTGGAGGGAACTGAAGAGCTGCAGCACATGCTAACCTGCAGGAGCTCGTCTTGTTCAGCTGCGGTCCAGCTGTGGACTGTAGAACCACAGCTGGACCGAGTCAGGTCAGACCGCCGTGCAGGAGCTGCTAACGCTCTGATCGGCTTGAGTCCGTCACCGACGCCTGCGTGCACGCAGACTAAACACCACCATGACAGTTTGAAGCTTCACCCTGCAGAGATCCAAACAGAACCTCCTCAGATATTTCCTGCAGGTCGGTCTCAAATGGATCCACCTGTGGTAACTTCAGTTGATTGGACTTGATGTGGGAAGGCCCACACCTGTCGGTAGAAGGTCCCACAGCTGACAGTGTAGCACAAACACCAAGCAGGGAGTCAAAGGTCTGTAGACCTTCAGACATGATTGTGTTGAGGAACACATCTGGAGAAGGATCCAGAAACATTTCTGCTGCTCTGAAGGCCCCAGTGAGCTCAGTGGCCTCCATCATTCATAAACGGAAGAAGTTTGGAACCACCAGGACTCTTCCTAGAGCTTGGTGGCCATCTAAGCAGCGTTCCTCTGTGGAGAGAGGAGAACCTTCCAGAAGGTCAACCATCTCTGTAGCAATCCACCAATCAGGCTGTGGTCAGAAGAAAGCCACTCCTTAATAAAAGGAACATGGCAGCTCATCTGGAGTTTAGCTAAAGACATCTGTAGGATTCAGACCAGGAGAAACTAAATCCTCTGGTCTGATGAGACAAAGACTGAACTCTTTGTGTGAATGCCAGGCATCATGTTTGGAGGAAACCAGCTCCTCACCAGACCAACACCATCCCAACAGTGAAGCATGGTGGTGGCAGCATCATGCTGTGGGTGTTCTTCAGCAGCAGGGACTGGCAGACCAGTCAGGATGGAGGGAGAGATGAATGCAGCGATGTACCAAGACATCCTGGATGAAAACCTGCTCCACAGCGCTCTGGACCTCAGACTGAGGTGACAGGTCATTTTATCTACATCGTTTGATGTTTGCTTCCAGCAGTCAGACCGACTTCTCCTCATGGATCTCCTGATTGTTTTTTTTACAAGTCAATCATTTTGTTGGGATTAGACACAAAAATCTGAATAGTTTTAATGTTTATCTGCTCATGTCTTTAATAGAAACAAGTGTTTTTCAGTTTTCTGACTGGTCGTGAAACAGTCGCTAGAATGAACTTGTTCAGATTTTATGGCTGCAGGTCGTCTCTGCTGCCCCCAGGAGGCCAGGCATGAAACTACACCGTTCATCCCTGGTTCTGACAAACATCGAGCTTCCTGTTGGCGTCTCTGTCCTCCTATTAATACTGCGACCAGGTCATTTGTTGCCTTGGTAACCAGTCAACACCATTGATCCATCGGTGTTTGATTTCCGGCTCACGTCTGATTGGACGGCGGCGGTTTGGGTCGGTGGAACTGGGCCTGTGGTGGACAGGCTGATCGGTTACACAAACAACAGCAATGACACACACACAGATAAGTCACACTTCTGTATCACACGAGTATCAATATTTATAACATAACAATAATATATTAGAATAAAATAAATATTTTAATGCAAATAAACAAAACAACATTCATGTTATTCTGTTGTAAAAAAATGAACATTGAACTTGACTCACGATGAGCAAAAAGTCGCATTAAAACCAAAAACTGTAACACATTAACCTAAAACTCATCACAGCACTGAATCTGCACTGGTGAAAGTCACTAATGATATTCTCATGGCCTCAGACAATGGACTTGTGTCTCTACTGGTCCTGTTAGACCTCAGTGCTGCATTTGATACAGTTGATCACAATATTTTACTACAGAGGCTTGAATATGATGTTGGGATTACAGGAATGCTCTAAAATGGTTTAAATCATATCTATCTGATAGATTCCAGTTTGTAAATGTAAATAATAAATCTTCTTCATAAACCAAAGTTAGTCATGGAGTTCCTCAGGGCTCAGCGCTCGGACCAATACTCTTTACTTTATATATGCTTCCATTAGGTAAAGTTATTAAACAACATGGGATAAATTTTCATTGTTATGCTGATGACACACAGTTATATTTGTCCATTAAACCCAATGAATCCAATCAGCTACTTAGACTACAAGCATGTCTTAAAGACATAAAAACCTGGATGACCCTTAATTTTCTCCTGTTGAACAGACAAGACTGAGGTTTTGGTTTTTGGACCTGAGCACCTTAGGAATGAATGTTTCAGTCTTTCTCCCTCCTTAGATGCATTAATCTGTCCTCCAGCTCTAATGTTAAAAATCTTGGTGTTATTTTTGATCAGGACGTGTCTTTTATCCCCCACATTAAAACGTTACTAGAACCTCCTTCTTCCACCTGCGTAATATCACTAACATTAGAAACATCTGATCTAAAGATGATGCAGAAAAACTGGTCCATGCATTTGTCACGTCTAGACTGGACTATTGCAATGGTTTATTATCTGGGTGTCCAAATACTTCTTTAAAACGTCTTCAGTTGATCCAAAATGCTGCTGCCAGAGTCTTAACTGGAGTTACTGGGAGA